TCTTCAAAAACTGGAAAATAGTGGTTCTGATTCTCTGAGCATATTATTTCATATCTAGATTAATGAACAAATAGCATTAACATGTCTATCATTTGATAATCTAGTCATCATTTACCATGGGTCTCTTTGATACTGTCATCTTTATTAATCACAGTGTACTAAGTTATACTGTGGTGACAAGTAACCTTAAATCTTAATAATAGCTAATAAAGGCTTATTTCTCATTTATCCTACGTGTTCCTTACCAGTTGGCTTCAGCTCTGTCTCACGTTGCCTTTACTCCAGGACTCAAGCAGTTTGAGCATCTCCTCTTTAAAAGACTGCTGATAGTCAAAGAGAAAAAGAGCCTGGTGGGCTCATCTGTTCCATGCCTCAAAGTTCTCTTTGCAGGGATTGCATTACACTGCTGCTCGCATTTCATTGGCCAAAACAACTGACATGCTAAGTCTTATGTTAATAATGTCGGAGCAGGGAGCAGTAAATATTTGTGAACAATACTACAATCTACAAACATATAGAATGATGTTAGATAATATATAAAACTGATTCTTGCTAGTCCTTATACTTTTATTATTTATTTATTTATTTATTTATTTAAAGTGACATTAATGGACATTTTTTTAAAATATACCTTTATTGATTTCAGAGAGAGGAAAGGAGAGGGAGAGACAGAGATAGAAACATCAATGATGAGAGTCATTGATCGAGCCCGCAACCTGGGCATGTGCCCTGACCGGGAATCGAACCCTGATTGCCTGGATTCTAGGTCGACACTCAACTGCAGCAGAGCCACGCCCGGCCGGGTGTATACNGCCGGGCGTATACTTTTTTTAAAATCCTCACCAGAGGATATTTTTTCCATTGCTTTTCAGAGAGAGTGGAAGGGAGAGAGAGAGGGAGAGACATCGATAGGAGAGAGACTCACTGATTGGTTTCCTCACACTCACCCAGACTCTGGGGTTGGAGACTGAGTCTGCCACCGAGGCACATGCCCTTGCCTGGAATCAAACCCTGACCCTTCAGCGGCCAGAGCCCTAACCACTGAGTCAAACCGGCTAGGGCCCTTATACTTTTTTAAAAATGTATCTTTATTGTTCAAAGGAATACAGATGTCCCCTTCTCTCCCTCCCCCATTGAACCACTCCACCCCGCAGGCTTACTGCACTATTGCCTGTGTCCCTGTTATTCATATATGCATATAAGTTCTTTGGTTAACCTCTCTCCACATTCCCCCCAACCACACCCTTCCCTGAGACCCCTCAGTCTGTTCCATGCTTCCATGTCTTTGGACCCATTTTGTTTATCAGTTTATTTTGTTCATTATAATCTACATATAAGTGAGATCATGTGATACTTGTCTTTCTCTGACTGGCTTATTTCGCTTAGCATAACACTTGCTATTCCTTATACATTTTTGATTGAATATTTTTTCATAATGTAGTGCAAGCTAAAAAATAATCCAGATTGTTTTCTCATGTTCAAAATCAATATCCTAAATTCCAGTTATTTTAATCAAAGGGTAAAAATCAGATAAGTCAGGTTTTTAACAGACTAGTATTTTTTGACTAAATATTTGCTGTCATTGTTTACATTGGTAACCTTTTCTAGAAGAGAAAAAGCCTCCTCACACCTCCTAACACATACACACACACACACACACACACACACACACAAGCAAACCAGCAATATTAGAGAAGTTGCTGTAACTTAAAAGTTTTTCTTAGCAAGTTATGTTTCAATATGTGGTTAGGAAAAAACCACTGGATGGCCGAAATTCTGCTAATGGCTTCTTGGACAATCTCTTATTAACTTCTGGCCATCACCTTTTTCAGAGGAATTAGCTCATCAAATACCTGTGTAGTTGTATCTCTAATAGGAATGGAAAATTATAAATCTATCCTACTGATTACAGTTTCTTAAAGTGTCCTTAAAATTTAGTAAATTTTGACATTTTTTTTGAGAAATACTTTGTAGGTTGTAGTTAGCCTCCTTAAAACTCTTTAATTAAGATATCAGAAAAAAATATTTTATTTACTAATGTACCTGAATTTAGATAAGAATTGAAATTTTAAAATATTTTTATGCTATAATTAAAAATAGAAGTTATATTTTTTAAGTAATTCTAGTTCAAGTATGTTTTTCCTCTAGCAGTCCCATTTCAGTATGCCTAACATTTCTCCCAATTTTTCATAGAATCATATATAAAAATACAGTTGTAATCAAAAGATTATTTGACTTGAAGTATATTTAATGGTTCTAGTTTTTCAACTATAACATAAAAGGTTTATTACATCATTTCCAGACTCATCAATTTCTTTGTCAGGAGACAAGAATTTCGTTTTACTTTTTTTTAGACTTTCTATAATGTCTAATAACCAAAACACAAAGAGTTATCATGATATAGTTGTGTGTGATGTGGTTTCCTCTGTGTAATGCATCACATACAATATCTATTCCAGCTGAAGATAATTATTTTTTAAAGCCACTAAAGAACACAAAATAGGGATGCGTTGACACAAATAGAGAGTAGTAAATTTAGAATTCATAGTAGAGCGCTCAGATTAAAGCAAATGTTTCCGTGCCCAATTACCTAATTTGTAATTGCAACTATTCACTGCACTTGATTCTCTTCTTCAACTTCTTCCTCTCCCTCCCCCGACTCCTCCTTCCCAGTTTTTGTATGACAGCTCAGTAATAAATCCAGAATGCTTAGCTCTTTCCTCCTCAATATACTCCAGCTTCCAAGGCTCATGTTCAAGATTGCATGCTATAAAGGCACTTTCAATAAGAAATTTAAATCTTTGTAGCCTCATATTTCTCCTTGGAGGCTTTAAACGTGAACAACTATGTCAACTATAAGCAGGACAATAATTTCTGTGCTACTGTGCTCCCAGCTTATATTGGCTGAAATTAAATAAAATTTACTATCGAGCCTTCTCCTGGATGTTGCAAGCTTTCATAGGTTCCAGAGTTCCAAAACTGTTATATCAGACAGATTCTGCAGATATAATTTTTTCTATGCAGGGAGACAGATTTCTGCTACTTCCTACTCCATATCTTTCCCAAATCCTCTCTCTTCAAATTGTTTATATTATAATATCTGGGACTGTAGCCCAATCTATATTTAAATAATTTCTATAGGTGACTCTTTGCCTGCTTTAAGTTTGCAGCCAGAGAAGCTGTTTAAACATTTCTCTATCCTCAGTGTAAAAGCCACCGTGAAAAAGTTTGCTGTGAGTGTAGTTGCCACATAATTTATTTTCCAAGCCAGAACAAAATTGAGAGTAAAAGGAGATTCTATTACTAATTGTTCTACAATAGTATTAAGACTGTATAATAGAGTTGTTTGAAGAACACTTAAATAAAGGTGAGCTCTGAGAAATTTCTTTAAGGGATGTCACTAATATGCTTTGTCCAAACTTTGAATCAAAATCTTGACTTTCACAGTGAGGTGACATCCACAAAGTCCAGGTATGCATATGTAACCACTTGAAGGCACTTGTTTGCTAAGGGTTTTATATAGATCACAAAAGAATAACTTCGGACATACTGAATCCGTATTACATCATATGAGTTACAAAGAGTTTACTGTTTCGTTTTAATATATTTATTGTATATTATATAGAATGAGTTTCTGATACTAAGTTCTAGGTTTTCTTCCTCAGTGAATTGGTGAAATCTCTTAGCCAGGGCACTGTCTTCTAATAGTATTCAATTTCAACAATTTAACTTTTATGGTTCACTTACTGTTCATGTTCCACACAATTGTGCATGGGACTGATCACTTCCTGTTTTAAGAATCAATATTATTATTTTCAGAAAATGTTGGTTTTTGTATTGACCGATGATGAAATAAAACTTTAAAACCAAATCTTTATACCTCTGTTGCCAATTTTGCTTTTTCTAAAAAGTACAATTACTATGAGGCAATTTTGAAGAGGGATGAATGTGTGTGTGT